AAAAGAAACAGGGATATGTATCAGTGCATTTCCTATATATTATCTATCCTATATATATCCTATATATTATATATATATACATAAAGAAAAATGTCTGAACTTGTTTTTGAACTCCCAAGCTGAGGGAGGGAGGGAGGGAGGCAGGAGAGACCTAAGGGAAAAGCAAGATTGTCCATGCAGGCTGATGTTCTCAGGCTGCTCCACGTGCTGATTTATTGAGCAGGATGAGGCCCTGGCTCTGTGCATTTTGGTGCAATGCAAGTACCAGCTGGGGCATGTGAGAGGATTTGAAGAGAAGTGTGAGCTCATTACTTTCCCAGTTGAGTCAGATCAGGATGTTTAGGGAAACATGCAGTAACTTTTGTAGAGGGATTTAAAAAAAAAAAAAGGAATGGGGGGCAGCCTTTGTTCCTGTCATGGATAGGTATTTGTTGCTTAAATGTTCTTGTTTTGGGGGGCATAAATACTTTTTAAAAATTGGAAAAAGTGTCTTAATTAAACTGTAAACTAGAATAAAGACAAAATGTCTAGCTTTCCTGTTAATTGAAAAGCCTGCAACTCAGTTCCACAACAGGAAAACCAACGAGTAAAGAAATCAGAGACAGTTCTTTTGGTTTATTGATGCTGTTTTGGTCAAGTCAAGAATTCAGCTATGCTAAAATGATCAGACGTTGTTTGGAGAGAAAGAGAATTTCCAAACCGGCCTCATTATCTGAGAGAAACTAAAAAATCTCAATTAAGGTGGTGTAATTTTTCTCTTGCCTACTTTAGTGTGCAGAGATGAAACTGGGGGAGTGTCCTGCTCGCTTTTTCAAAAGAACAAGCAGAGTTTTTTCATAATGCACAAATCCCTTGTTAGCTGGAAGGGGGGAGAAATAGTTTAATGATGAGGGGCAGAGCATCTTAAAGGAGGCAAATGTGCATCCCCAGGATTTCAGTGAACTTGGAAAATGCCACCAGGGGTAAGTATCTGGCAGCCACATCTGTGAAATTCCCTTTCTTAGAGGAATGGAAATAAACATTTTTTATATTACCTATAGCTGAGAAAAATGCTTTTCTATTTATGGTTGTGGTCAGTAAGTACATAAGAATGGAAAAAACAGGGTAATGTGATTGTAAAGAACATCAGATTTCACTTTCTAAAGGAAACCTGTTGGTGCTTAAAAAGCTTTAAATAATGGCAATATGTAAATGTAATGTGTAACTGTGAGCTGATGTGATCAGATTTAAATGCTCCAAGTGGTTGGTTGTTTCTTTTTCCCTTTTTTTTTGGGGGGGGAAGAGGTGGTTTCTTTTCCCTGATTCTTACCTTCTTTCAACCAATTTTGCAGCTTTGCTTGGCCTTGGCAGTAAGTGCAGTGCCCTGACTTGTTTGCTCAGCACTCAGCACATGCAAAACCTCCAGCCCATGAATTATGTAAACTGAAGACCTCTCGACCCAGAGTCATTCTAATGGTGGAGCTTTAATTTTTAAAAGTTTTCCGATGTCCATATCTGTAGTTTCATAACATGCGCTGCAGGGTAATCCTGCAGGCCAAGGTGCAAACCTGTCACGAGCTGCTCAGGGCATTTCTGTTAAAAGAAGGGGCCTTTCTGCAGGTTCTGGTTTGGCTGCAGCAGAAATTTTCTTCTTTCCCCCCTCACAATGGGATTTCTGGGGGAATGGAGGGGTTCTTTTTTGTTGTTTTGATTGTTTGAGGAGGAGTGTTACCTTATTTCTGGTAAGAAGAGTCAACGGGGTGGAAGAAATAAAAGTTCTTATGTGATTAACATCTTAAAAAATATTAATGCTTTCAGAGCTAAATCAAATCTGTGATTCTCTAACACATGTTTTCTGTTTAAGGTTTATGTGAAAGCCAAAGAAATCTTATGGGATTGATCAAATTGCCCTCCTTACAGTTACAGCCATGAGAAAAGTGACTCCCAAGTGCTTTCTCTGTTGTGATGTATTTCCCTTAGTGAGGAAGATTGACAGCTGTTAATATATGAATGTAGTTTTCATATATACTCAGGAACACTGAAAATGTGAATTATGGCACCTGGAAAACATTAGTGATAGTATTTTCTTCTAAAAAACATAGGCCATGTGACCATTAAAGTAGAAAAATAATGAATCTTAAAAACATTTTAAAAGTAATCCAAGTTCTGTTTTTATTTACCTTTCCTCTAAAGCTTCTGTATATACTGAAGTGTTATTTTCAGTACTTTTCATACATCCTTGAGAACTGGAGTCGCTTTTGATTTTAAAATGTAGAATTCACACATCTACTTGGAACTGTACTTTTAAGAAAAATATCAGCTATCATGAGACTCATCATGAAACTCTGCAGGTTGGCACTGGGGTAAATCCTGGCTGCTAAATGTTGTAAATTGATTTTTGTTGTCGTTGTCTTTGATTTCTTGGTTTTCTGAAATAGATTTTGTTTCATCTCCACGTACTGGGGGGGGGGAAGATCCATCTTATTGAAATTGTGTGGAGGAATATTTCATTAGGCAGTAAAGACACACCAACCAGTTGGAATTCCCCAAAGCTGAAAGACATGGATGCTGTAATAAAGCCTCTGTATGAGGGGGAATTCCTTTGCAGCTGATAAAGGAAGGATTTGCAGCACTAGTTGTGCTGCACCAATACTCATTTCAGGGAGTATTTACCATATTTAATGGATGAAGCCGTGGCTGTTTGCCATTCTGTTAACCCTCAAAGTGTTTGTGTCCCGTGAGCTCATCTCAACTGCCCTGCATGAACCCTCCAGCACCCACAGCACCCTCTGACAGGACATTTCACCTGCATGCCCTGAGGTGGAGAGAGTATTAGTAAGCAAAAATTTGGTTTGTTTTTAGCTGAGATTTTTCTCTCCTGGCCGATGCTGGCAGGCAAAGGGGTTTATTTTGCAAGAGGAAAAAGGGGACTGAATGGCACGTGTTTTATCCATCAGACTGAAGGGTCTCTTGGCTCTAGTTCTGATGCTTGTGGTCCAGCTTTGGCACTATTTTCAGTCTCTTTTCTGCTCCTTGGAACAAATGATGAAGAAATTTTCCCAGTCCCTTCAGTTAACACCCCTTGTCCCCAAAAAGGAGTGCATCCTGTGCAGTGCAGTCTGTGACACTTTAATAATGCATAAATCAAGTTGGACAGAAGCTACCTGTCAGTTTTATTAACTTTGACCTTTTCTCCCAATATAAAGATGGTTTGGTAAATATTTAATCACCCTTATAGATTTTGACAGTTGGATCTGCATTCCTAGGAGCAAAGGCAGATTATGAAGAAATACTTAAAATTAGTAAAAATAGCTTAATCACTGGGAGTTAACTTTGAAGGACAGAATTGTTTTTTGAAATGTATTTCTTTTTTATTCCTTTTATTGTGTTTTTCTTTTTTTTAATGCCTGACCACTAAATGTCAGACTGGGAGGTCATGAAATATTTTTAAAAGGTTGCCTTTAAAATCCATCTCTGATGAGCCCTGGTGATTAACTCCTCTTCTGAGCAGGTGTCCAAATGGTGTGATTTACCTGAAATACCTGGCAGTGTCGTTCTGCACAGGCAGCATCAGTGAATGGTGTCACCAGCACCAAGTGGTGAGGGAGAACTGCAGGAGGAAAAGGGAAAAGCATATTCCTGGAGTCTGAGGGGTCTTCTACCAGAGCTGTCTTTCCTTTAAATTCCCTGCAAATCCAGGTAGTGAAGATTGAAAACTAAACCCCTGACACTGAAACATCACCTTTCAAGCACGGACCCTCCGTCGCTCCCACTGATTTTTTTTCATTTCAGAAAACTGTCGGAGAGAAACAAATTTGAGCAAAATTCATCGGTTGGGGCAGCACAATCCCCCCTCCCTGTTCCTGGTGGAACATCCTTCTGATGAGCCTGTTAGAAATCCTTCTGGATGTGCTGAGCACTGACATTTGAGGCAGATTGGCTCACGGAATCCCTTCCCTCATTTTCAGAGCCATTTTCAAGTGGATCACTTCTAAACTTTGTTTCCCTCCTTTTAAATCAGTTCCTGCAGAGCAGCTTGACTTGAGACCACTTTATTTTTCTGAACATTTTTAAGTCACAGTTTTCTAACCATAACCCCTTTTGTTTTTTAGCTGCAGACCTTGGGCTTGGAGGTGTTAACGTGTGAAATGGTTCACCTTTAGCAGGACAGATCTTCAGACAATTTAATGAACATGTGGAGGAAGGCATTGGAATGATGAAGGAAATTGTACATGTCTGAATCTTCTGCTTTAAAAATGGGAAACTAAGAACATAATTGGAAGTTTTCAGAGAGGAACTTGTGACTTGTTGCACTTGGAGCTGGTTTCAGGGCAAGCACAGCTCTGTGGCTGTTCTTAAATCTGAGAGCTGTGGGAGGGCACTCAAAATCCTGCAGATTCACGTTGTGTCCTTCATAAATTTGTCTTTTATTGGCAAGGAAAAAGAGAAGTTTAGAGGAGAAAGGTACTGAATGTGAATCTTTCTGCAGTGCTGTGGAGATGTGTGAGGAGGTATTTTAAAGGCGAGGTTTTTATTTACAGTGGTAGAAACTTCTTTGTGAATGTTTTGTGGTTTTTATGTTTAAGGAAGAAAAGATGAGTGTTATTTCTAAAAAGCTGGTTTATACAGTGAAAGGGTTGCCTCTATCTTCCTCTTATCATCTTCCTAAAAGTAAGAGTTCTTGGTCCCTTGGGAGGGAGAAACAGCCTTAACATGTAAAAGCAAGCCCAGGTTTCAGGAGAGTTAGGCTTGAGAGGAAGCCTTTGATTCATCATCTTACTTGCCCTAATGCATAACTTCCTCCTATTGCCTATTTCACAGCAGACTTTTTCCCTGTGCTTTTATTCCCATCATCTTCCATCCGAGCAGTAGATCTGAAATCCCAAAATCCCATACATATATTAACTGACTGACGGGCTGTAATTTGAGTCATGTGGAACAGGTAGTAGAGGACTGACACAGACAGAGTACTGCAGTGGTGTGGTTTTTAATACACCCATGTGGTTTTTTTTCTCCTCCAGCTGCAGTACCATGCTGGGCTGGCATCTGGCCTTTTGAATCAGCAGTCCCTGAAGCGTTCGGCCAACCAGATGGGAGTCTCTGCAAAGCGCAGACCCAAAGCCCAGCCAACAACTCTTGTCTTACCTCCTCAGTAAGTAAGGGAATAAGTGGAAGAATTTCCATGGTGGGTGGGCCAGATTGTTTCTTTTAAACTTTTTACTGTAATTCTTGTCTTATCTCTTTGTTAAGTTACGAAATATCTGGAATAATTTCCATTGTGGGGGGTGGAGGGGACAGATTTATTTTGAACTTTTGGTCGTGTTTTTCTTGAATCATCATCATAGCACCCTCGTGCTTGTATTCTTGCTTCATACACTATAGCTTACTCTTGTTGGATGGGTGGGTACCTTATGGAACCAGTATTTTGTCTCCTCTGTTGGTGGAGGCACCGTCACAGCAGAAAACCTGCGAGGATTCTTTGTAGCAGGTCGTGAAAAGTTCCTGCAGCACGAGCTTGTCATTGAGGAACGATGTTCCCCTGATTAGTATGACTTGGAGCTTCAAGGAGGACTTTTCTGAAGGTCCTGAAAGATGAAGCCAGAAAGTCTTTGGTGTGAGTACTTTCTCGGCAAACGTCTGTTCCGAGTCCATCTGTTCACCATATGTTAATTTTGCGTTGGATCTGAACCTCTTTTCCAGGTGACAAGCAATTATGAGGACACTTAGGAACTATTTGAGGACAGAGGGTATCAACACTTGAGGCAGCCTGTGTGCTGATGCCAAAAACACAGAGATGTCCACAGCTAAGCTTATAAATTAATAAACTCGCCTAAATTATTTAGTTACATGTAAGAAAATGATTATTATGTAGAAAATGAAGTGCTAAGCAATTGTTCATCGTACTGAGCATCCTTGTAGTTTGTGGAAACTGCCTGCTTTTCTTCATGGAACAAGCGTCACTGATGTATAAACACTGTGCTACCAAAAACCTTGTCGTTGCAATAATAAAAGTCCCTGTTGTCACCAGAGCCCACAGACCTGTGTTTAGCTTTTTTTTTTTTTTTTTCTTAAAGGAAATGAGAAAAAAATCAGAGTCAATAGAGCTTTCCCCTTGTATATTAACTTTAAAGTGCTGGTAATTCAAGAATCCATAAAATGTTCTATTGTTTTTCCAATACATCAGACAAAGGAGAGTTAGGAGGGTGGCTCAGCAGAGGTTTGAAAACCAGATGTTGTTTCTCTGATAGGTGTGAAAGAACTGTGGGGGGATATTGTGACAAAACTGGCCAAACAGTTTTCTCCCCCTGTTGGGGTATCTGGAACTTCAAATGGACTTCTCCAAGAAGTCTATAAACTGGATTACTGTGGTACCAGTTGCCACAGTTTTTTCAGAAAGTCTGTAAAATATTTTGGTGGTTTGTTTGGTTTTTTTTGATCGTGGCTTCTCTAGTTACTAGAAATATATATAGAGAAAGAGCTGGCTTCTGTTCTTGTACAGAAAAATCTGTTCTTCAACAGCTGCAGCTGTATAAATCTTAATGTGAGATACATAATATACATTTTTAAAAGTATTGTATGTCTTTTCATCTGCAAGTGATTTTTCCTTCCTTGGGGCATTTACCTAGAAATTTTAATGTGGTTGCTCAACTTCACCCAGTAGCTGAATTATGTTTCAGTATCTTATTACCACTTCCAGCATTATTTACAGGGAAAATGTGTTTCTGCTGAGCTGGTCCTTTGTCTGTCACTGGTTTCCTCCTCTTTGGCTTCTCTTTGCCCTTTCCATATTTGTTCTTATTTGCTATCTTGGTGTGTCTTAAGAGAATAATAGTTATATTAAGTCAAATCAAATACCTGTTGAGCTCAATATCTTGTCTCCAACACAGGGCAGAAGCAGATTATGAAAAGACTTATGAAAATAGGCTTATGAAAAGTATTTAAAAAAAGAGAGAAGTGTGACAAATGGATTTTAATATCTTGATTTTACTGTAGTTTCATGCAAATAATGATGAATCATACTGTGATATTTCTCCCCCCTTCATTCTCTATAAAATGCAAAAGAAGAAAACATCCAGGTGCAAAACTACAGATCTCCTTGAAAGGGCATCCTGAATACTAATATTCCCATGGTAATTCAAGGACTGAGGGTTTTTTTTTAAGCTTTATTAATTCATCAAGAAAGGGGTAACTATTTCTTGGTCTGTCTTTGCTCTGATGTGTGCTATTAAAACCAAGTTCAGTGACAAGTCTTTGAGCTGAGTAACAATGAGTCAAGTGTTTATTAAATGTTGTTCAGAGTTAGCTATATTATCTGGAGCCTTCCTTAAACATAAGTAGTCAAGACCAGCTGTATGCCAAAATGTCATTTTAGGAGAGCAGATTGGAACAAACAGCGACACTGCAGTCATTCCTTTCTGCCAGCACAGGAATGCAGGAACCACTTGCTCAGGAGGTATCATAGGTGATGATTTGGGCAAAGGAGTCTTCTAAAACCTGTTTTAATCTTATGCAGATTTTGCACATGGGTAGTTTGACTGTAAACATGTCTTAGTTTGAGTTAAAGGCAACATTAGAGAGCACGTTACTAATCTCCTTATTTATTTATGTTCCTGCTTCTTGAAGAAGCTGCATGAGTAACTTTGGCTATTGCACAACCCTCTTAATGGCAGTGGTGCAAGCTGAGCAGTTATCTTTGATCTTTACTGCTGTGGTGAGACTCCAGTTGTATTCCACAAACTAAACATACCCAAATGCTGTTTCTTCTCATAAGGGTGGTGATACAACCCAAGAATCAAATTTTGTGTCAATTCACTGTTCACTTGAGCCCTCAGTCTCTCTCTCTGCTCTGTTTTTCTTCTTTTTTCCTCTCCAAAATGCCTTTAAAAAAAAAAAAAGGAACAAACCAAACCCCAAACCTTTTGGTCTGTCTTGGGGGCTCTGCCATCTCTTTCTTTATTTAAACTCACAGAAAGGGTTTCAGTAATGGCAAAGCTGATTCTTGGTGGGCCCCCAGCCCTTTGTCTCTCGCCAGCCTCAGGGTGAGTTGTGACAACCTCAGGGTGTCTTGGAGGTGAGAAGCTCTAGTTTTTCACCAGTTAATACAGGAAACAACAGCAGCAATTTTGAGTCAAAAAGGTGGTTTTGAATATGGAAGGTCTTTGTCCTGTGCAACCACTACCAGGAAAATTTACATTTTCTTGCTCCTCAAGGTGCTGAACAGTTTCAAAGAGAGAGGCCTTTTGCTTTTCAGTAGTGGTTTTCACTGGCTCTGAAAGTGCAGAAAGGAAGGCTGGATTGATGAGTGTCTCACTTCTAGCCAAATGATCTGTGTGAGAAAATGACTAACTGCTGGCTGCTTTCTCTGCCTGCTTTGTCCCTCCTTCTGTCTTCTATTAACAAGACATCTCCCTGTACGTGTTAATAGATGCGTTCCCTCACATGCTTCTCATCTGGCTGCTGGTCCCTTCCTTCTGTTAAGGAGTCTCAAAGCAGTGTTTGCTGAAGTGCTGAAAGCTGTCAGCTCCTTCCCAGTGACTGGGGAAGTGTTTGTGTGCAGCCCTTGTGAAAACCAGGGTGGCTGCCTCTGGTTTGAAATCAATAAATAAGGATAATAAGAAATGACAGCTTGGTTTTTCCTTTCCTCTTGAAATGTAGTAATTGATGCAGTTAATTAATCTTGTATTATTTTGCTTTGGCACCACTTCTCCAAAGCAGATTCCCAGTTGTGGAGTTGTCTCCATGACCCTAAGGGAGCAGAATGTTCCCTGGGGTTGCCCACAGAGATGGTCCCTGCTGGTGGAACACCCTCCTGGGATCCCAGCAGACTCTGGAGTGTCACTGTCCAGCTGGAAAATGACAGCAATGAGTCACTGTGAGATGAGGAAGAAAAGAGGAAGCGGAGGATGTTGACTGTATTTTTGCAGTGGAGTTCATTGTCCCACACAAGAGGGTCAGTTAGTTTTAATGGGAATTTTTAGGGGTCTCAGTTGGAAACCCTGTGACTTCAATAGCTCTGTTGTCTGGGGCCTTCTTAGTGCTCCCAGATTAATCATCTGTCTTCTCTGTCTGGAAGAAAATTGCCAGAACAAGAACTTGATCACAGCAAAAGGTACTGAGACTCTTGCCCTTTATGGTACCTTTTAGGGTCATTTGTTGTCACTTTGTGGTTTTGGAGAAATAAGCACACTATAAACAATAAACAAGTGGAAGTCTGGTTCTTGTTTGACAACTTCAGGCTCAATGAACAGAGAGGTTTGAGTAAAAGAGAGTCCAATTTTTTTTTTTTATTTTAAGGTTCTTCAACTTGTCTTGTAAATCTCTTGTGGTCTGATGGATGCCACAACCTGACAGTGAAAACATTGTAATAGACTGAGTAAAAATATCTGTGAATTTGTACTCTATTGCTGGGGGCACACCAGCAAAATTACTTTTCCTTTATTAAAAAAAAAAGGACATGACATTGTTCTAGATAAATGAGCCACAAAAACCTGTGAAGGTTTTCTTTTAGGAGATAGTAAGGATGTATTTGAGGATACAGAGACTCTGGACAGCCACGTTGTTTCTACCACTTGTTCTGGGTGAGATGGGAGAGGTCTGTAATCTGCTCTCTACATCTCAGAATCCATTTGGATTCTTCTTCTAGAGATTAATATATCCAAAAGAAGTCTGTGCTTTTTCCATCCTTTGGAACTACATCAGCTAAAGATGTGAGTGGTCTCTTAAACAAAGTTAATTTACTGGCTCAGCAGGTATCTGTTCATCTGGATTTGGAAAAGAAATGTGCAGATATCCCAAACTCTGTGTTTATTGTAGCTTGATTCAATACCAGCATAGTCAAAGGGCTGTTCTGTCATAGCATTGATTCCCTGTCAATTTAATGGTTCTATCATATAATTACTGTCAGATTCTGTTGTGTTTGTGTACTGTGTACATAGAATTGTGCACTGTCAATTCTGTTGCTATTTTTAACATTTAACTGAAAGGTGTGTGTGTACATACATATATACACACACATATATATATTTATAAACTATACACTCAGTCATCAGATGTGCCAGAAGAAATTATTTGGAACTTAGCTTGTATAATTTATCATTTTTGTGTTAAGGAAAAATCCTGGTGAGGATTTTTTTCTCTTCCTTTGCCAAGAGT